AATCCTCAGATCTCAGCCACCTGAGTAGTTAGGATTACAGGTACTGGTACCCAGTTTGAATGGGGTTTTCTTTTATGTGTTATACCATTTGTGGATACTTAGGTTGCTTTCATATTTTGGCTATTGCAAATGGTGCTGCTGTAAATATGACTTGAGCACAGATGTCTTTTCAGGGTATTGATATTACTTCTTTTGGACATGTGCCCAATAGTGAGATTCCTAGATCATGTGATCGTTCCAGTGTTGTTTGTTGTTGTCTCTCTGCTGGATTACCAGAGTGAGCCACCAGTGCCTAGCTACTTAAGTTTTTTTTCATCCTGTTTTCATAACTCCCAACAACAGCAGTGTATGAGGGCCCATTATTTCCAATGTCCTCCTTTCCTAGATGAATGGAATGTTAATACCATGTTTTCACTAGCCGTGTAGGAATATTCTAATTGTTCTACATCTTGCCATTCTAATTTTAGTCATTCTAGGTGGGTGTATAAAGTGCTATTTCATTGTGGTTTTAATTTGCATTTTCCTGATGTAGATGTAGAATGCCTTTTTCATGAGTTTATAGGCCACTCTTCTTAGTTTTTTTTTGTGTGAAATATCTTTATCTCTTGCCCTGGTTTCCATTACATTTTAATACATATCCATTTCTATGCCATTTAAACATCCCACAGTCAAACTGGCATGGTCATGCTTTTAGAATCTCTAGTAAGAGTTCTTCTAAAGAAAAATTACTTACTTCAAATGACCTGTGGCCTAGAATTGTAACACATGGCCTAAATATGGTTAGGAGAGAGTTGAAGTATTGTAAGAACTTCTGATAAGGCAGTTAAGATATGCTCAAAATACTTAGGAAGGTAAATATTCGTTTTATCCATTGCCAAGAAAGTTGAGACAGATATTGATTACCTTTCTCCCTTGGAAACATTTCCACACAGTCCTTCCTTTGTCTGAAAGTAGAATTTCTCCCCAACTTGTGCTCAATTTGCAATTAGAATTTTATTTCTTTTGTATTTGGGTGCTGGGCCAAAACCAAAACTAATTTTGTAGAATGTTCTTCAGATTGAGTTTGTCTGATCTTTTCGAGTGACACGTAGGTGAAATGCCCTTTAACCCTATCCTGTGGGGTAGGTGGCACCACTATTAACTGTGGTCATTTGGTGAAAGTAGCATTTGCTGTATTTATCCTTTGTAAAGTTTTCTCATCCTTTATGCTTTGGTTGTAGGCCACTAAGTTCAGTCTACATGCAAAGCAGGGAGGAGTTGGACCTCACTCCCCATCTCGGGGAGGGGGGGGCCCTTTGTTTTTTGTCCTGAGACTTGGCTTGGACCATGTCTTGAGCAAGAGCAAGGCTTTCCCATACACACAGGTGCTTCTCTACCACTGGATTCGATTCCCTCCTTCAGTCTAGCAGTCCAGGCTTTTTTTTTGGGCCGGGTGGGGGGGACTTGCTGGGGGAGAGATGGGCTGGTTAATTGGAGAGTCCAGGGGTTGGTGTCAAACTGCAATTCCTCAGACCTGTCTCCTCAGTAGCTAGGATTACTGGCTTGAGTACCAGTGCCAAGCAGGTGTTAGTTTGCTTTTGAGAAAGATGTACTCCTGCACTGACTGGATCCATCAGTTATAGATCAGTGTGGCTTCGTGAATAATATTTTACGTTTGAGGTGATAATCTGGTATAATACACATCACTCAATTGTTTGTTTTTGAGTTTCTTTTCGTCTGGGCTCCTGTATCCGACTACCCTACCCTTTATCTAAGCATTGTCGTGGTCAATCGCGAATCCTTGCTTTGGATTTGAGATGGGGTGTTGTTGCTCTCCGCGGCGGCTGGAGCTCCCGATCCAAGTCCTCTCTCCGGAGCGTATGTGTTACCTTGTTGGTGGTGGGGCTTGAACGCAGCGTCTAGGTGTTGTCCCTGACCATTTCTCTGCACCCCGGGGTGCGGGCGTCCGGGGTGCGGGCGTCCGGGGTGCGGGCTCCGGGGTGCGGGCTCCGGGGTGCGGGCTCCGGGG